GGCCAGCTTCCCCCAGTTTATGTACTGAGCATGACGTCACATGGTATGGAATGTCCCTTTGGCCAGTTTGGCTGTGCCCCCTCCCAGCTTCTTGTGCACCTCCAGCCTTCTCAGTCGGTAGAGCATGGGAAACTAGAAAGTCCTTGGCCAGTGTAAGCACTACCTAGCAACAACTAAAACATCAGTGCCTTATCAATTTTGTTCCCATCCTAAATCTAAAACAAAGCACTGTACCAGCTACTAGGAAGGAAATTAACTCTATCCCTGCCGAAACCAGGACAACGGGAAAGCCCCAGAGCTTGGAAGGGACCTCTGAAGGTCATCTTCTCCAACCCCCCTGCTCAAGCAGAGCTGCCTACAGCCGGCCGTCCAGGGCCATGTCCAGGTGGCTTTTGAGTATCTCCGAAGAGGGAGACTCCACCACCTCTCTGGGCAACCGTCTCCAAACTGTCTCCTACGTTACCAGAAAGCTTCCGCAAGATATTATCTGTATTTATAAAGAAAAGCATAGATTTGAGAGCAGTAAAAAAGCAGTGGTAGTTTCACGTTTACATTCTCTAAATTAAGCTATAGGTTTACTCTGCTGTTCCACGGACTGAACATTAGGGGACAGGCAGCACCAGACCTTCGCCACTGTCTTTCCTCACACAAGAAGGTAACACCACTGTTACCAATACCACTGAACATATTAGTCAGTGATGTCCACACAGAGTTTCTAGCACTGTGTAACTCTCTAAGACAAGCAAAGATCTGTCTAGATTTGAATATGAAGTGGAAGAAGCATCCATCTGTCTTCACCATACCAGGTAACAACTGCTGTTTGGCACAAGTGGTTCCTTATACATGGTATTTTAGATGCACACTAAAGCTCTTTAACAAAATAAATTTTACAGTTCAAGATACTGCTAAGGTTTTCAATGTAACTAAGTGGTATTTGCAATATACCAGCAAGTGGTTAAATTAACAGAAGTTGTTTGAAAAGTATGATGTTGTCTATTTAAAGAAACAAAAAGCACAGTAACTACCAGCCTGAGAAAAGATAAGGCATTTCATACTAGATTCACATTAGACATTTACATAAAATTGAAGATAAATTTAAGGATTCTCAGTATCATAAAATATCTGATTAAGGACATTACCATTTCTGTCAGACTACTCAAAGAATTGTCAAAACTACAGACAAGGTAACAGCCTAATAAACCTTTTATATATACACACATACAGAAAACATTTTCATATCCCTATTATCCAGTGATGACAAGAACCTTTTGTTTCTGCAATTTTCTGAGATGCTATTTTTTTTTCCCTTGCAAGTATTGCAAGAGAACCTGGGAGTAGGGAATGCAACTTTCAGCAGATGGGAGGTAGCATTAAGCCTCCAAACACATTGACAATTTTAAAATGAAAAGTTATTACTATACAATATAAAGTGCACTTCCTTCCCTCCCTTTAAACATTCTTTCAGTCAGACATTAATTTTTTACAAGAAAATAAGTGGCACAGAGTAACTGTTTAAACTGATGAACATTGGCCAAATCATAACTGACCTCATGGTATTAAGAAGTTACTCAGGCATGAAAAAGTGCCTCCGAGATCTTCTTTAGCACAGTCTGTGCTAGAACTGAAGCTCTCAGAACGTGGAGCAAACCAGCACCCCAAGTTTCACTCTCTGGACGCATCCATTACCAGCCATCGTTCTGGGGACGCAGGGGAATATAAAGCAATGAACAAATTCAGGACATGCAAACCTTGCCAGAACGGAGTGGCAACTTGCGATTCCCAAGCTTATATTCCAAGCTTATGTTGCCGCTTATGCTTTTCCAGAAGTGTTTTGGTAGGCAGCATCACATTACACTTTCCACACTTGTACTTTTTTCTGTGTGTTTTTACATGCTTTTGGAAAGCACGCTTATCTACTGTAGAAAATTTACACCTTCTGCAGTGCAACTTTAAATGAGTCAGCAAGTGCCGCTTCAGGTGGCTAGATGTGCGGAAAGCAACAGCGCACTGACCGCACTTGAACGGCTTCTCCCCTGTATGAATTCTCAAGTGTGGCTTCAAGTTTCCATTGTGGGTTGTGCAATAGCCGCACTCTTCACACGTGTATATTTTGACAGGCAGCTGCTTTTGTTCGTAGAGACATCCAGTAGATGAGCCTTCCTCACAAGAGTGTGAAGCCAGATGCCGTTTCAAGGACAGCCATTTGCTTGTTGAATAGTCACAGTTCCTGCACTTGAGATAGTCCATATTAAAATGCGTGACTCTGTGTCTTTTCAGGTGACTGGAAGTACGAAACTTCTTCTGACAAACACTGCAGCTGTAAGGTTTCTCACCTGTGTGAGTTCTTATATGTAGTTCAAGGTTGCTTAAAGCGTAAGTAGCGTACTCGCACTCTGCACACTGATAGAATTGGGGCTGACTTTGCGCCAGCAAATCATTTTCTTTGCCCCTCTGGACATCTGGCTGTACTCCACAGACTTCCGAACCAAGCAAGGAATGGACGCTGTTTGAACCTTCCGAGGAACAAAAATCTCTTTCTGGACACGTGCCTACATGCATTTCATGATGCAATTCAAGATTCTCTAAACGGCTATCTACACAGAGGCAATGGCCAAACTCATATTCATTCTTTACGTGAATAAGGCTGTGTTTCTGCAAATGGTTTGATGTTTTAAATGTCTTATTGCATTCGTTACACACAAATGGTTTTTCATCTGTATGTATTTTTAGGTGCAGCATAAAGTCGCTGTGAACAGCGGTAGCATAATTGCAGTGTTGGCACTTGTACGTTTTGAATGTAGACAAATTGGAAGGCCACGTATCCTTTAAGTTTTCCATGTCAGGGAAGAAGGACTCGCCCCTTGTCTGCCACGGGAAAGCCCCAGAGCTTGGAAGGGACCTCTGAAGGTCATCTTCTCCAACCCCCCTGCTCAAGCAGAGCTGCCTACAGCCGGCCGCCCAGGACCATGTCCAGGTGGCTTTTGAAGACTCCACCAGCTCTCTGTGCAGCCTGTGCCATTGCTCCGTCACCCTCACAGTAAAACAGTGTTTCCTGATATTCAGGAGGAACCTCCCGTGTTTCCATTTGTGCCCGTTGCCTCTTGTCACTCGGCACCAGTGGAAAGAGCCTGGCTCTCTCTTCTTTACACTCTCCCTCCAGGCTGAGAGTACAGCTTGATGAGATCCTTCCCGAGCCTTCTCTTCTCCAGGCTGAGCAGCCCCAGCTCTCTTAGCCTTTACTCCTATGGGGGCACCTATGGGAGGGGCTGCTGTCCCTTCATCACCTTTGTGGTCCTTTGCTGAACTCTCTGCAGTATGGCCATGCCTCTCTTGTACTGGAGAGCCCAGAAGTGGGGACAGAACTCCAGGTGTGGCCTCAGCAGTGCTGAGGAGAGGGCGAGGATCACCTCCCTTGACCTGCTGGCAACAGTCCTCCAAATGCAGCCCAGGAGACGGTTGGCCTTCTTGGCCACCAGGGCACACTGCTGGCTCATCTTCCATTTGGTGTCCACCAGGATGCCCAGGTCCTTTTCTGCAAAGCTGAGATGCATCACCTGCAGAAACGCAGTGCAGGGGCCTTGCAGGCTGCAGGGGGTCACTGGCTGCAGGGCTGGGGGAGTTTTTGTGGGATGGGGGGCAAGAGCACTTGGGGGTGCCCAAACTTTACAAGGGGGTGCTGTTCAGGGGCTTGTGGAAATGTGCAAGGCTCATGCCGGGGTTCCTGGGGGAAGGCTCAAAGGTGGGAGACTGGGATGGGTCCCGCTGGATGCGGGAGAAGCAGCGCGTTTCAGCCCGTGGCACAAGCGTGCTTAGCTCAAATGGCAGTCTGCCTCTGGATGGCTGCTGAAATCCCGGGATGCTCAGGGTTTGGAGCTTTGCTGTCCTCACCGAGACCAAGCCAAGGTGTACAGATCAACAGATGGGCCTCATTCCCCTGCAATGGCTTTTGGGAAGCAGGCAGCCTGTCCCCAGAAGAGAAGAGCAACCCCCTCCTGCCTCCCAGACACGGCCACGGGGCTCGGGGCTGGAGGAGTTGGGCTGCTGTTGTAGGGAAGTGTCACAGAAAGGCTCAGGGGGCTGTGACTGGAGGATGGCAGGGGCTGTTTGGGTGCGGAGGTGCCGGCAGGAGGGCCCAGCAGGGACAGGGCTGTCAGCGTGGCCTCTGTCCATGGCACCCCGCTTCGCAGGTCTTCAGGACAGGCAGCCTGGCTGATGGCCAAGGGGCATGGACAGCCCTGCCCTGGTGCTTTGAAGGGGAAGGCGTGGAGAGTGTGAGTGAAAGGGGCTCTGTTGCAGCACTCACGTCAAGGAAGTTCACAGCACACTCCAGGAAATTCTCCCCTTTTGCTTTCCTACATTGTTGTGGCCCTGCTGGAAAGCATGCCCTGCAGCGGCTTGGGCTTTGGGTTTTGAAAGAAACGTGCCCCGAGAAGCTTCTGGACCTTTATTCGATTTCCATGAAGCCAATCAGCCGTGCTCTCAGTGCCAGCAGGTCGTAGCGGAGGACGGGTCCATCCGCCGGGCTGGCCGGGCGCTGCCCTGCAGCCTGCTGGGTAGAGGCACTGGAGGACCTTGGAGCTGCGTCACCCCGCGCCCCTCGGTGCCTCCCCGCAGGTCCCCTTCTCCCAGCTGCGGGCTCGTTGTTGGTGGGCCTTGCGCGCAGGTGGTAGCGCTGCTGTGGGGATCTGCTGCGCACCCGCTCCCTGGCTGCGGTCCTCTGCCGGCGGGCGGACGAGCCGACCGTGTACTCCTGGTAGTCGTCGTCCGCCCTCACCGCGTGCAGGACGCGGTGGAAAGGCTGCCTGCAGAGCGGGCACGCAGCTCTCGAGGCGGCCCACCCTAACATCTACAAGCAAGCAAACTAGCAGCCATAGCAAGTATCACATTTTCTCTCTCATTTCTCCTGCAGCCTGTAGTGACAGCACTGATTTCTGTTCTTGCAAGTGTCTAATTCAGTGACTGCAGCAGTGTGAGAAGTGCTCTCACTTTATCCTGCTTTAGTCTACGGAGTCAAAGTATGCATGCGTGGGAGTACATCATGCAACTATGGCTTCACAAGAAGGACTGACAAATTTTTAAAACAGTTTTCTCTGATCTCACTCCTGGAATGACCCTGGTGCCCCCGATGAGTATCTGGGCAATTTTATGCCAGCACACCAGTTCTTGTAACTGAGGTTGAGAGGATAGGAAGAGTATTTCATTTTCAGAAAAATAGGCTGTGTGAAACTTCCAGGGAGAACAGCAGAAGACAGGGTAATGTTTCTGAGCCATATAATTGCGAGTTACTCAGTAACTTGAACAAGATGGGTCTGTATCTTTCATTATATATGCTGCTTTGGGAAACAGTGCCATTTCCTCTCGAATCCCAAAGATCTACCAATGTACAAGCTCCATCACCTGAATCACAGAATCACAGACTGATAGAGGTTGGAAGGGACCTCTGGAGGTAATCTTGTCCAACTCCCTGGCCACCTAGAGCTGGTTGACCAGGACAATGTCCAGACGGCTTTTGAAGATCTCCAAGTATGGAGGCTCTACCAGTCCTCTAAGCAACCTGTACCATTGCTCCATCACCCTCAAGGTAAAAAAGTGTTTCCTGATGTTTCCTGCCTCCCAGACACGGCCACGGGGCTCGGGGCTGGAGGAGTTGGGCTGCTGTTGTAGGGAAGTGTCACAGAAAGGCTCAGGGGGCTGTGACTGGAGGATGGCAGGGGCTGTTTGGGTGCGGAGGTGCCGGCAGGAGGGCCCAGCAGGGACAGGGCTGTCAGCGTGGCCTCTGTCCATGGCACCCCGCTTCGCAGGTCTTCAGGACAGGCAGCCTGGCTGATGGCCAAGGGGCATGGACAGCCCTGCCCTGGTGCTTTGAAGGGGAAGGCGTGGAGAGTGTGAGTGAAAGGGGCTCTGTTGCAGCACTCACGTCAAGGAAGTTCACAGCACACTCCAGGAAATTCTCCCCTTTTGCTTTCCTACATTGTTGTGGCCCTGCTGGAAAGCATGCCCTGCAGCGGCTTGGGCTTTGGGTTTTGAAAGAAACGTGCCCCGAGAAGCTTCTGGACCTTTATTCGATTTCCATGAAGCCAATCAGCCGTGCTCTCAGTGCCAGCAGGTCGTAGCGGAGGACGGGTCCATCCGCCGGGCTGGCCGGGCGCTGCCCTGCAGCCTGCTGGGTAGAGGCACTGGAGGACCTTGGAGCTGCGTCACCCCGCGCCCCTCGGTGCCTCCCCGCAGGTCCCCTTCTCCCAGCTGCGGGCTCGTTGTTGGTGGGCCTTGCGCGCAGGTGGTAGCGCTGCTGTGGGGATCTGCTGCGCACCCGCTCCCTGGCTGCGGTCCTCTGCCGGCGGGCGGACGAGCCGACCGTGTACTCCTGGTAGTCGTCGTCCGCCCTCACCGCGTGCAGGACGCGGTGGAAAGGCTGCCTGCAGAGCGGGCACGCAGCTCTCGAGGCGGCCCACCGCCGGATGCAGCCGAAGCAGAAGGTGTGGAAGCATCCCTCAACATAGGCTGCGTTGTCCATCTCGCCCAGGCAGATGGAGCATGGGTCGTCTGCTGCTGCCTCCCACCGCCCTGCCCGCTGCAGCTGGCTGGTGGTGGCCATCGCGGCAGAGCCGCTCTGCTCCGGAGCCTCCTCAGCACCCAACGCTGGTCCTGCCAAGAGAGATGTTCAGAGCTTTCCTGGCGCTGGGAACAGAAAAGCAAAGTCCCAGAAAGCGGTGGGAGAGGGGAGGCAAGGGCCTCCCGAAGGGTCTCCTCGTGGGCTGAAAAGTGGCAGCAGAAGCAGCCCTGTGGGACAGCCAGCCCCCTCCTCACCTGCCTGACCCCCGCAGCTCCCCCCAGGGACACAGCCCACAGTCCAACGCCCCCCCCCCCCTCCGCTCCCCACAGACAACCCGCACAACTCGAGCTAGCACAAGGTACCTGAAGGAGTTGGTCAGGGAAGGCGAAGGAACTGGCTGGGAGTCTTCAAGTGGTGCCCACAGCCACGGCAGCGCCG